ATAATTATATGACTATGTCATGCAACTATAAAATTACAATACTAATATTTATTTGCAAACATTAAACCCTCAAGCTTTTATTTTGACGGAAAAGCACTCTTTTGTTGATCAGCGCTTCTCCGTTACTCAGAGCTCATGTAAGTGTGTGGGCTGAACACAGAGTTAAAATAGCTCACTGAAGAGTGAAGAGCAGGTGTTTCCAACCAGATGCTTATCGAATGGTTTTGTCAGATGACTAACTGGAGGAGATATAGAGAAGCTCACCGATTCCTCTGCATGTAATAGAAGGAGGAGTTTCATTCGTTTATTTGAGGAGCCAGCCAATGGCGTGAGTTTGGGGGCGGGGCTATCGGTTTGCTTCTGTTTCTTTGTATCTGTTTGTTTTTCTGTTTGACCAATGGCAGGAGTGTTTGGAAACTAAATCATAATTATACAGTTTAATGACACGTTTCGAACCAACTCGTAGATCTCAACACTTTTAAAAGCATAGTTCACCCAAAAATGAACATTTTGTCATCATTTACTCACTGTCCTGTCGGCCCAAACCTGTATGACTTATTTTTAGGGCTGCACGATAAATCGAAATGGAATCGAGATCGCGATACGACAGAAGCTGCGATTGTCATGCGTATCTTTCAGTGAAGCACGGTTCTGTGATCAGCAGTAAATCTCCATCCAAAGGCCAGAGAAACATCAAAAACGCCCCGCAGAAGAAACCCAGAAAATGCCTATCGCTGCTGCTGAATAAACAGAAGATTCAACTGCTTTCATTGATTCAACGTGACTAATAAACACACGACTACGGCAATATACGGTTTATCTGAGTTCCTATTATTATAATTTTCATTAAAATAAAGTATATTAATAATGCAATGCCTTTATCACTGCTTAAATACTGTGAAATATGTTGCGTGCCACAGAAGGATGTATTTCAAACACTCGACTGACGCTATGAAGTGAGTTTGGAGTAAAAATATGTTATTAAATGTGCTATTTTCACGTGCTTTCAGATGGAGCAGCATTTACTTCACAGAGCCGTAGTTCACTGAGAAGCTATGCAAACAGCTGTCATTATCGCCAACGATTTCTTCGATTTCAGAATCGCGCAATAAAATCGTCTGCGATTTTTTTGCGTAGCTTGTCAGTGAACTACGGCTCTGTGTAGTAAATGCTGCTCCATCTGAAAGCACGTGATGATGATTTCCTGCTGATTACAGAACCGGCTTTACTAACAAAATGCGCATGACAATCGCATTCGATTAATCGTGCAGCCCTACTTATTTTTATTCTGTGGAACATAAAGGTAGATATTTAGAAAAATGTCCCTGCGTTGTGTTTTTATATATTTTTTTGGTCCATGCAGTGAAAGTCAGTGTTGTTTGGACTCAGTTCTCAGTAAATGCAGTTCCACATGAACTCCATCTCTGCATCTGCTCTGAGTTTGAGCCGTTTTAGGCCCAATCCCAATTCTATTTTATACCCCTTCCCCTCCGCATACCCCTTCCCTTTGTGCCTTGAAACAGTGTCAAGGGGTAGGGGTGAAAACATTCCCCTAAGAATTGGGACACCTTTACAGTAAAATATTACAATAGCAATTCTTTTTTAGTAATTTTCATATTTTTTAATAACAACAACAGTAAAAATATTTTTAATTACTTGATTGTTTTATTTTATAGTTTATAGTTATATTTTATAGTATCTTTTTATATTTTAATTTAATAATAATAACAATAATAATAATTATTATGATCATAACTGTTGTTATTATTATTATTATATTTTTAAATGCTTGATTTTTTTACAGTGATATTATAAAAGTACTATTACCAGTTTGTATTTTTATTATAATTTTTTTTAATTTGAACAATTTATGTATTTAATATATTTTATATATATATTATAATTTTTATATATTTAAAGCTGTAGTCCGTAAGTTTTGCCTCTTTGTCGCCATCTCTGTTTGAAAACCTGTAATTGCAGCTGTGTACTAGTGTAGACAGACTTTAGCTGTTGTGCCGCGGCACGACATGACAACTGTCGCGTCTGGCGTAAACACGGTGTTAGTATGCGATGACAACAATCGTTGTCATTTAGGAATAAGAGTAAGTGGGGTTTGGATCGAGATTACGATCTTTTAAACGGGTCATATGATGTCCATTTTCAAGTTGATATGATTCTTTAGGGTCTTAATGAAAAGTCTGTAACATAGTTTGGTTAAAATTTCTCAGTGGTAGTGTAAAAAACACCTTTTTTTACCCTGTCAAAAACAGCTCTTTTCAGATCAAGCCATTTTTGTAGCATTTCCCTTTAAATGTTAATGAGCTCTGCTGACCCCGCCCCTCTCTTCCTGCTCTCAGAGGGACTGTTTACTTTAGCCACATTCATGGTGAAACTTGCTAATTAGCACATTATTAGGAAAGGCGATTTGCAAAGATTCATTACAAAATGCCTGAACATCTTCCGCATACCACAGTCATCGGAAGTGAGAAAAAAGTGTTTATTACGTTTGAAATATGGATATTTATCTTACATAAATGCATGGATTCGCTACAGGAGGCCTTTATTCACCTCCCGGAGCTGTGTGAGGGACGTTTTATTACGGATGCACGCACTTTATTTCACGTCTTCTGAACTGTTGACAACCAACACCCGCTTACCCCCATTGAAAGGCTTGGAGGGGCCAGGACAATTTTTAATATAACTCTGATTGGATTCGTCAGAAAGAAGAAAGTCATATACACCTAGGATGCTTTGAGGGTGAGTAAAACACAGGCTAATTTTAATTTTATTTTTGGGTGAACTAACCCTTTAACGGCTCAGAAACGGCTGATTCGGCATCAGCCAATCAGAGTGCTGTCCCACGGCTGGCCTGGAAACCCAGAGTCTCCGGTGAGAGTAATCACCCCACTCTCCGTAACGAGCTCACCTGGGATGTCTTATTTTACCTCAAGCATGCTCAGAGTCACAGTGAGGCTGCTGCAGCCATGCAAGAGATATAATAAACATGCAAATGTTGTAATAAACCCATGTGACCTGTGATATGCTGTATGTTGAGTGTAGAGAACATGCATCTGCTTCATGCAACCCTATATAGTACATACACTCATGCACAAACAGATCCACAGCTTTCATGAAACATGCTCAAATATGTAGCTACAGCTGAACAATATTTAATGCAAATCAGTGCCATAATTTCTACTATGTAATAGTGTAATATTGTAATTTTGTAATGTTGTAAGGTTTTTTTTCTCTTTGTGTGTGTGTGTGTGTGTGTGTGGGATGCCTCATACTGGCAGAAAATTCCTTGTATGTTATGCATACCTGGCCAATAAATGTTGTTGTAATGTGTTGCACGTTATAAAGTGTGCAGTCAAAATATTTAATTATTATTATTATTTTGTATCTCTTCAAAAAAAATTTAATTCTTAATATTTAAATTTTTTAGTTTTTAATATAAGAATCCAATTCAGACTGATTTGTTTTTTGTACAAATCTCAAAACAGTTTCATTGTTTTTATGAATTAATTTATTGTTTTTTTGTCTCTTCATTTTGACATTGATATCAGAATTTTTTTTGACTATTTCTAAACTATTTCAAGAAAGGGTGTACATGTTTTTTTATTTTTTATTAATTCATTTAAAAAAAATGATTAGTCATAACTTATTCTGTGAGTGTGCAGTCATAACTTTTAACTTTTGTTATTAAATTTGTTTTTAATTTATTTTGTTACTTTGTCTTTTCCTCATTTTGACATTTAAATCAGAAAAGATGCATTGCTATTATGCAATATATATATTTGTAATATTATTTTGTTGATCATATAATTGAGGGGACTGTATGGGATCAGATTCCCGCCAAATGTATTGCAGTCACGGATAAAAAAAAAGAACAAAAAATTTAAAAACGCAAGTAAAATTATATTGCACAAAATTTTAAAATGAAAGCAAAGTTTTCAGAATAGCAAACAATGGTCACGGATCAAAAAATAATAAGTGTAAATAAAAAATTTTAACGCTTGAGGTATTCAGCCAATCACAATGCACTGGATAGCTGGCCAATCAGAGCACACCTCGCTTTTCAGACCGATGAGCTTTGTAAAAATCGACACGTTTCAGAAAGGCGGGGCATAGAGGAGAAACAATAATGTACAGTATGTGGAAAATAATGTGTTTTAACTTTAAACCGCATAAACACATTTCATTACACCAAATACACAAAATAATGTTCTTTTTAGCAACATCAAATATGACCCCTTTAATAATCCATACAACTGCAGCAGTGGAGGACTATTATTCTGCTGCGTGATACTGCGGAAGAACTGATGAAGGCACGGTTTGATCTTCGGCTGACCAATCAGCAGAAACGGGCGTTTAATTCCCGCCCACTTGTAGAAATCGAATATTCAAGCTGTTTATTCATTTTTCCACCCATGAACGAAAAACCAAAATTTAAGCTGAATTTTCGTTTTTCGGAAAAAATCGAAAAAAGGAGCCATTTTCAAATTGTTCTTCTTTCAATATTAAATAAAAAAACTAATGATTGAATAATACATGGATTAAGTTGTGTTAGTCAGGTGTTAGCAAAGTTGTTCTTGCTATTCATTCATTGAACAGTCCATACCATTCTCGGATAAAGATGGTCATCTTTCAAAAACTGTCGGCCCAATGTTTTCTTACAGCGCAGCTGCTCACGACGGTGACTGTGAAGAACCACAAACACTGCTCTTCAGCTCAAACACTGTGCTCTCCTGACTCAACTCCTTTCACTTTTCCACTTTTCTTGTGGATATTTGGCATTGAAACACTGTTTAGTGGACATTACCCATAATCCTTTGCTACTTTAATTTGCATACACAGTCTGACTTACAGAAAAGAGGTTTCCAACGCAGTTTTTGGTTTTAAATGTTAGTGAATGTAATTTGTAATGTACGTTATTGCTATTATTATTGAAAGATCCAAATTTTTTTATCATTTTGATGAATATGTTTGGTCTTTTTAAGGTGGCGCTGCTGGGAATGGACATAGTATCTGCTTTAGTGACCAGACTACAGGAACGCTTCAAAACACTAATAGGAACAGGTGAAAATGTTTCTATAATAATAATAATAATAATAAATTATTATTGTTATTATTATTATTGTTGAATATTTATTTTATTTATATATTATTAATAATTATATTAATATAATAATATATATTGATATAATATATAGATTCATATTTATTTTATAATATTAAATAATTTTTTTTTAATATTACAATGATTAAAATGTACTCTTTAAAATTTAACACTTTTTAAGTACGTATTGTAAAGTTTTATGTATTTGATCACTTATTTGAAACTAATTTTTGTGACAATACAGATGCTAATAATTTCATCTAATCTTCGTAATATTTCTTATTTTTGTTTTTCTCTCAGTTCTGCCCAGTTTAATTGATCGTTTAGGCGATTCTAAGGACCAGGTTCGAGATCAAGCGCAGTCACTTCTATTAAAAATCATGGACCAAGCGGCCAATCCGCAGGTGAGACCCTCACAGCGTCCTGCTTTAGAGTAATATGACATCAATTGTGGCTTAAACTTATGAAAGTATTATTGTTTGCAGTATGTTTGGGACCGAATGCTGGCCGGATTCAGACATAAAAACAACCGGACCAGAGAAGCTGTTTGCTTTTGCCTTATTGCCACTCTTAATGCGTATGTACCTGGGTTCTTTTAATATCATTCAGGGTTTTTATTAGTGATCGACCGATATTGATATTCTATTACCGATACCGATACCAATTATTTGCATGTTTATGTGCCCGATAACCGATATGCAGCACCGATATTTATTTACTGTTATAAAGTAAATAAATGACTGAGTGAAGTAAGTCCATGCTTCACTTTGGTTTTTCCTTCTTTCAGTCATCTTAAAAAAAAAGTGTTGAAAATTAGCAGTCTTTCATGTTAAATTTAATCTTCATATTACAACAATAAAAAACATTTTATTTAAAGCATCAGCAGCAACACTAATATTAACAATAAGCAAAATAAATGTAGAAGGTCTAATGTTTTCAAATGGAGAAAATAAATGAATGAAAGGAGTCACATCAACTTCATTTTAAACTACAGTGTTAGTAGGTTTATAAACTGTTTAATAGGCTAAAGAGTGAAGAATAATTCACTGGATAATGTTAATTCACTGAATAATATTCTCTGGAATATTGAAATGTAACAAACAAAACATCGTATTTTATTGCATTTCTCAACTGGCATGTTATATCAGAATTACTAATAATGTTTTTGTCGTTTTAGATTATGAAATGCCTGCTGACAGCGCGGTTTATCTATGCAGTTGCACAGAACTATACTCAAACTGCGATCGCTCGTGGAGATAATAAATCATTCATTTTCATAGAGTTGTATCTATTTAGATGTTTATTAGCGAAATAATGGTTATATAGTAAATGTTAAAAAAAAAGTAGGGTGTTTTAAACAAGTGAATCTTGTTAAAAGTTACATGCGGTGGCCGTGCTGGAGCATTTCCTGAGCATCAACCGCATCAACCCGGTGAGTGAACAGCGATATGAAAGCGGCTTCACGAGACTTATGATGAGCAAATATACAACAGAGAGAGAATTAAATTTAGTGTTTTTATTTCCAACATGCGCTCATTCATGGCTGCATATTATTTAATTCACGCAAAGTTACGTCTTTATTGGGACAGGACTTGACGGATTATCTTATGTGACTCCGTGAGTTTGTTTCTATTTCTTCGAGCCAAGCTGCATAATCTGCATATCAGGCATTTATGTAATACATCTCTTTTGTGCATTAATGGCTGGTATGTTAAATAAAGTTTATTAACTACAGCAAATCAAGTACCTGTGCACGCCATTGTTGTTGCCTTGTTTCCCCTCAGACGCACGGCAATGTTGATCCTGCGTGCAATTCTCAAAATATCCACAAGATGGCGGTGTTTATCGGTGAATCCGATGTTACAAAACCGATAATCGATTATTGTAAAATGCTTACAAATCGGAAAAATATCGGTAAATCGGTCGATCTCTAGTTTTTATTAATATTTTGAATCATTTTTAATTGTGATAATTAGTTTTTTTCTTCTTCTTCGTCTTCTTTTTTTAAACAATTCTAGAAGTTATAGTAATTTTTTATGTGCTTTTTTCATTTTTAGTTAAAAAAAAAATCATTTTTATACATTTTTATTTCAGTTTTTGTTTATTATTTTAGTACGTCAAGTTAAACTAAATTAAAATAAGTTGCATTGGCAACTATTTGAAATAAAAATGAATGAATTAATAGTTTTCAGTATTTTATTTCAGGTAACGTACAGCACATTTATTGTATGGTTTTAGTTTCAGTATTAACTCACCAATTGTAGTTTTATTCAAAATTGTATTTGTTCTCATGTTCTGCAGATCCGGAGCTCAGGGTTTAACCCTTAGCAAGATAGTCCCTCATATTTGTCATCTGTTAGGAGACCCAGCGAGTCAGGTGAGAGGGTTTTGTTCTGCTCTTCCTCAGATCACTGGGTTTGTAGCGTCCCCTGCTGGTCATCACAGGAACTGCTGCTGACTTCCACAGCACTGTGGCTATACCATGGTATAGTGATGGAAATACCATGCTAGTGTGATTATATAAAATGCTATTGAATGTTTACTGTATTCAATCATATTAACATGCCACTATATAGATATATGGAGTACCACAATGCAATGCAGATTGCGATTGTTTAGTATAATATTTTGTGTAGTTTCACATAATTTTCTGAACAGTTTTTGAGCGTACTGTTAAAAGCATCTGATGAATGACTGGATGTTTCTGGTCAGGTTCGTGACGGTGCGATGAACTGTCTGGTGGAGATTTACAGACACGTCGGGGAGAGAGTGAGGGTGGATCTGGGGAAGAAGGGGCTGCCGCAGTCACGGTAATAAAACCACATCAATAACAGTTATTATTATTAAAATCACGTCCTCATAGCAACAGTGTCAACCACATTTTACAAAACAGATTTTTATGTAATTTATTACAAATGCATTTTAATTTTTGTTTTGTTTTAATTTAATGTTATACTTTATTTTTAACTAAATTTAATTTAATAAGTGTTATAAAAAATGGTTTTACTTATTTACTGTGCCAATATTGTGTGCTTTTTATTCTTCATCTTTTTTTTTTGTTAGAGTGCCATCTACATTTTTCAAAAAAATGTTATGTAATGTATTGAAAATGTATTTAAATTAATTGTTTTAAATAATTTTAATTTTAATGGGAATTTAATATTTTTTTTTTTACATTTGTATGTATTTTTAATGTAATGATTTTTATCATTTGAAGTTATTATAAAAATGTTTTGGTTTTACTTTATACGTTTGCATAAACTACTTCATAGTTTTGATAGCGTATGCTTTTTTATACTTTATCATTTCTTTTTATTTTTTCCACTACAGTGCCATCCATATTTTACAAAACATTATTTAATCTTTTGAAAATGTATTCAAATTTGAGAAAAATTTTTAGTTTTAATTTGAATGACAATTTAATTTTAACTTTTAAAAAGTATAACACCATTTTTAATTGAATGATTATGAGTTATTCTAAAAATAAAATCTGTAATTGATTTATATTTTCTTAATTGTCTTTGGTTTTATTTACAGTGCACAAACCACTTCATAGTTTTTATATTGTATACTTTTTATATAATTTTTACTTGTATCTTTTTACTTTTATTTTACTTTTTGCTTTTGTACTTTTTATTTTTTGCTTAATTAATCAATCAATTTATTTATTTTTTGTGCTGTTTAAAAATGTATCTGTGTTTGATTTCTGCTCTTTTCTGATGAGCTCTAATGAAGTCTTTCTTCGGTCTGTTTTGTTCAGACTGAATGTGATTTTCAGCAGGTTTGATGGAGTCCAGCGATCTGGGAACATGATCCTGTCCTCAGGTGAGTCAGTCTTGTTATAACTGATGTCACACATGATGATCTGTGTGATTTAATAAGACACTGTTGGCTGTAAATCACTTTCTATTACTGTGAAAGCGTATGAAAGCAGTATCAGGTGCTCTGTGAAGTTACCGGCACATGAACTGTGGTTTCTTCTGTGTGTGTGTGAAATGCTCGCCGCTGAGTTTGTCCCCATTGTTAGGCCATTGTTTCCTCACTGCCCCAGTTTCAGTGTGTGTGTGTGTGTGTGTGTGAGTGTGTGTGCACATCGTGTGCGTGTGCGTGTGGGTCATCGCATGTAACTCACACACGCACACACACACTCACTCACACACTCACACACACACACACTCACACTCACACACACACACACTCACACGCACACACACACACACACAGAGTGAGTGTGTGAGTGAGTGTGTGTGTGCGCGTGTGTGAGTTACATGCGATGACCCACACGCACACGCACACGATGTGCACGCACATCGTTAAAACAACAATTACCATATTGCTTGTTTTTGCTCTATTTCGCCAACAAAAATCATTCCGAATACAGCCACAGCGCTGTTTTGTGTCTCTGAGCAACATGACGGCGTTTCGTACCTGAATGAATCAACCGTTTAAATGATTCGGTTCAATCGCAATGACTCACTTATTAACAGTGACTTGCTGCCACCTGCTGGCGGTTTTGATTTCACATTTCAGCTTTTTCTTTCTTTTCTTTTTTTCATGTTTTAAATAATTTCAAATATCAGTTTTCAATTTTTTATGTTTAATATATCAAAACATTATTTATGCATTTGTAATTGCAGGTTAAATGCATTCATGTCTTGCATTAAACAGTGTGTAAATGCATCTAAATGCCACTTCAGATGCAGCTTCTTTTGACTCAAAAGATAATGGACACTTGGATAATGGAAAAAATGGCTTTATAAAGGTAAAAATGCCCATAAAATGCAAAAATCAGTTTAAACTTATTGGAAAAGATTAATTTCTATCAGTATGAACTGACCACCACACAGAATATGAAGAATATTAAAAAACATTAGGAGTCAGCTGTCTTCG